CATTCTTGCTATTTTATATGAATTAAAATCAAACAGCACACAAAACAGAATTTTAATGCCATTAAAAAACAACAATCAAATGGTTAAATTAAATCGGAAAACCAACCTACGGATCGGTGATTTGATCCGGTGATCGTTGATCAAGTGAATTTGCAAAGATCCGAACAAGATTAGACGAAAAACTTCAAGATCCACAATAATTCTTGCAAGAAGATGAAGATCGAACACTTCGAATCTGATTTGCTCCGAATAAATGCTTCCAACTTACGCTCCAATATCCAACTTCAATTTGCACGAAAATTGATTACGAAACTTGATCCGATAATGATGATGAGTGGAGGTTTATGCTCAAGATTCCATTGATTTCAATGAAAAATCAATGGATCCGATAACAAGGAGCTATGAGTGAGGGTTTGGAGAATGAAGAAAATTGAGAGAATTGAGAGAGTGGGAGAATTCTTGAAAATGAAAAATGAAAATTGTGAGGAGTTTTTCTTTTTGGTTTGGAGAAGATCCCTTAAGTACTCCTTAGACTTGGATCCCAAGGTAAGGTTTGGACTTTGGCTTGTGAAAATTGGTTTGGAGCTTAATGGTATGATTTTGGGATGTGTAGCTTATTCATGAAGTCACAAATTGGAACACCATGAACCAAGCCCCAAATGAAATTTATAATAATTCTAAAGTGTTTAGAATATCATTTCCAATCAAAATGAGTACAAATTTGGCTTGAAATCATTCAATTACCAATTGTTTTGAATTTTTCCCTTTTAATTCATTAAAATGGTCTTTTTGTGAAATTTCTTCAACCAATGCTTATTCTAATCCATATCAATGGACTCTTGATACTTGGCTAAGCTAAAAACATCATTTTGAGAAACTTTCATGTTGAACAAAACTCCATTTGAAGCTTGCAAGATAGTGAAATTGACCTATAATTCAAAATGACCTGTAATGCCCAAATACCCAAAATACCCTTGACTTGTCAAAGCCATAACTTGAGTTCTACAAATCCAATCATGGACTTATAGTACAATTTAGAAAGCTAAGAGAATAAGGAACAACATTCATGTTGACCAAAAGTTCATAGGAATCATCCTTCTAGGGAAAACGTGTCATGCAAGTTGGGTAACTTTCAAGCTCCAAATTCACATGCCTCAGATGACTTGTAACTTGTCTGGCTCATAACTTGAGTTCTATGAACCCTATCAAGGACTTATAGTACTAAAATTAAAGCTAAGATCATGCCCTACAACAATCATGTTGGGGTCAAGATGAGATGAAGATCATATCTTGAGTTAAATAGTCTTGAAGTCAGGGGTTAAGCCAGGGGATTTTACACTGTCAAGTCTTAGAAACCCTAGCCTGAAACTTCTCAAACTCTTCAATCATGAAGAGTTAACCTTGGAATCATCCTTAGAACATCTCAATGTATCAATACATGGTCACATGGCTCTTGAATTAGGTCTCAACCTTCTTCAAATCATCAGTTGACTTAGGGTTGACCCAGTCAAACCCTAGCTGCACCAATCATGGTTGAGACTTCTTAATCTTGCACAATGACCTGTCTAGGCTCCCAAATGAACTTCAACATTTCTCACGAGCTCTCTCAAGATCTCAAGTCCAACTTCATGGCTTCAACATCATCTGATGACTTCCCACAACTCTCAAGTTAGGAGACACACACTCTTGGTTTCAACCACTCTCTCTGGGGTTCTTTTAACTTCTCTGACAAGGATATCAACCCTTGAACACTTGAATAAACTTCTTAGCTAGCTTCCTAGTCTTGTGTAACTCTTAATTGGTAATCATATCTCTTGATCTCTTGCATACATGTCAATGAAATGCAAATGATAATGCTAATGTGAATGAAATGAAACACAAGTTAGGTAAAGAAAAGTTGGGCAAATTTTAGGGTGCAACAAATACGATATTCTTTTTCTTTCCTAGATGTCAATCTCCAGAACCAACAAACACACGATGAATTTTAAATCCGAAAGAAAAACTCCACATGACATTACAACATTAATCAAACTCCTCACACTAGATCTTCACACTCATTTTTGGTGTTAAAATTAAAACACACATAGTGGGTTTTTGATAAGAGGTTGAAGATGATGAATTTAAGAAATAATATCACAAATACTTGTTAGAATACTCACGAATTCAACACATTAAAAAATTCTTCAAGTTTGAATTGAGAGAGAAATTTGTGTTATAGAAATGTGCAAGATGTTATACTATGAAGAAATGAAATTTTGATTTATATATGTGCTAGAGAAATACATGATAAATGAGTAAAATATTTGATTCTAGTCAGACCAAGAATGGTGATTCGGGTCAAATGAGAAAATGACTTGAGTCAAGAAAATAAAACTCAGATTTTGCACCTTTGATTTGATTCATGATTCAAGTCACGTGATTCGACTCAAGAAATACTCTTTTTGAGTCACATTACCTGAAATGAAATCCAAAATGCGAATCTCGACCATAATTTGAATCAATTTGTTATGTGATTCAAATCAAGTTCTTGCATGATACAAATCATGAGATCTTGTGATTTAAATCACACTTTCGTATGTAATTTATAATTTAGTCAATTTGTTCATGATTCGAGTCACCCTATTTCTTGATCCGAATCATGATCGTAGAATTGTAATTTTGAGAAAATAAAATATTGGTGATTTAATCTAGAATTTGTCTGACTTGAACCATGCAAATATGAGTTTCTTATTTCAAGTTTTAGACATATTGACTTGAATCATTTTGCATCGAATTTAAGTCAAAAAATTTTTTATTCATGCGGAAATATGTACTAATAGAAATGCTCAAATATAAGAGATGTGCAGAAACCTAATAGTGAGGAGACTCAGTTACTAAATTGATCAAAATAAACAAGTAAACATAATACAAGCAGCAAAACCCTGAGCCATTTCAATAAGGATGGGTGTTCGATGATTAGAAACCTCGTGGAGCCATTTCTCATCCTAGAAAGAAAGTGATGTTCTTTCATTGATCCGGGAATCATTAAGAGATATGTGGTCTTCTGTGAGGATGTAGCAGTCAACATCGGGCATGTGAAAAGTATTCATAATGTGACACCAAAAATAGTAATTTGTTTTGAAGATTGGTGGATTCTCTTTTTAAAAAAAAAAAGATAACACGTTGCTCTCCTCGATGATGGGTAAATACTCCCACTATTTGCTGGTCCAACAGATATGGGAGTTCTTGGGAACCCCTGTTTCTCGCTTGCATGAGTTTTCCTTATAATCGTTATATTGTCTTAAATGAAAAGAAAAAGGAATTTTCGTACATAGCATATCTCATGGACATCGCCATTGATATGTCCAAACTAAAGTATTTTAACATTGTGTTTGAATTGAGATAATCATGTTGAAAAAGTTTCTTTGATGTTAATTTGTCGATTATTGAATTGAGTTGACACTGTCGACACTAGGAGAAGAAAGATATGGGTGGTATTCGCCAAAAACACTCTGACGCTCAAGTCAATAATCAATCCAAGTAAAAAATAAAAGCTATTTAGGTTTTCTAAGTATATACTTGATTTGACGTTTGTCATCTCCTTTTATAGGAATCTCATTAGGATTCACCTCCCTTCATAGATTTCTATCTAGATGCATCATATTATCAAATGTCAAAATATGAATATTATTAAATGTCAAAATATGATTCGTTTTGTGATCCAACATTACTTTGAGACCAGATCTTAAATTTGAGAAATTTCACCGCTAGACTAAGAGGGATTTGTCATCTCCTTTTATAGGAATCTCATTAGGATTCACCTCCCTTCATAGATTTCTATCCAGATGCTTCATATTATCAAATGTCAAAATATGAATATTATTAAATGTCAAAATATGATTCGTTTTGTGATCCAACATTACTTTGAGACCAGATCTTAAATTTGAGAAATTTCACCGCTAGACTAAGAGGGATAATTCAATTAAATGTCTATGCAATGCATATGATGATCAAGAATGTCTCATATCTCATTCTTGTTTGGGGCTTGCCAATCGGTTAGATCCTAGCGAGAAAATTCAATAAAATGTGTTGTTGAGTAAATTGAAGTTAAAATAAATATTTTAAATATTAAAATGGTGTGTAATTTATAAATAAGACTTAGTGTGTGAGTCTGATATACCGGGCAATGATTAAGTTTGATATGTAATATTTTACTTTCTCAGTCTCAAATTATAAGACGTTTTAGACATTTCACATGAATTAAAAAATTTAATTATTATTTTATAAAAAAAACAAATTATGTATGAATTAAAAAATTTAATTACTATTTTATAAAAAAGACAAATTATGTATGACTTTACTGTAATATTTCTCATAATTACACAAGAGAAATTAAAAGAGTCAAAAGAATAAATAATAATAAATACTTGAGAGTATATTAGAGAAAATATCATTAATGTAATATAAAATAATTTATAATTTAAGACAAATTTCTTTGACAAAGTGACTTATAATTTAAGACATATTCTTAAAGTGAAATGATATCTGCTCCTCCTAAGGGTTTTAAATTTTGAGAAATGTGAAGCGTCTGTCTATGTACTATGATGGATATAAAATATGTATATGTGCTATGAATTGTGAAAAGGTGTTGCAAATATATGAAATGTGGAACATGTTGTAAATATGTGGACAATGATGAACCATGAAATTGTGAAATGTCAATGTGTTGTAATCCATGTGAAGTTTGTAATTATAAAGAAATATAAAAGAAGCACCAACTTCTACAAAAACATAGACAAAACGAAAATAAGTAAAACTCTTAAGGAAGCATACATAAACTATGGTTAGATACACATTAGTACTATACTATGTATTCAAAAGAAGCACCATCTTCTAGCAAAAACTTAAACAAAAGGGCAAGAAGTAAAACTCTTAAGAAGCATACATAAACTATGACAATATACACATTAGTACTATGCATTCAAACGACTATTGCATAGTTTAGTAACTAGCATCATTTCCTAAACCAATGGTTCTTGCTTTCTTTTAAACATACCCCATAGATAATACTTTGATTGAAATCCTGCATAAGAATAACTCCGAAGTTAAGATACAATTATTAACAAACAATAAAGTTTATATGAAGAAGAGGAGCATGTATGTGATGGAATGTAACTCACTCTTATATTGGCTTGGGAGCTTTGTAGAAGAAAAAATTAAAAGCTCAGCTTTTTCAACGCAAACTCTTATGGCAAGATCATTGGAAATCATTTCATCAACTAGTTGGTCATAGTATCTCTCAACCCTATAAAGAAAGAAATTAACATTTAATGCAATAATAGCTTAAATATGAGCATTGATTCAAATCCTCGGCAGCATACTTAGCTGCAACACTGGCTGCAGCTAACTATGCTATCTAGAATTTGATTATGCTTGGAGAGACCATATCAGAGCTACCTCATTTGGAAAAAACTTATATTGTTTTACTAACGCATAAGTTTGTGCAAAAATGTATTAGCTAAGTTTGTGCAAAAATGTCACCTTTCATTTTGAGGAAAGAAATAAAGGCCAATGCTGAGGTTATCTGTTCCAAATTTCTTGAAACTCTCAGGCCACACAGCTGATCTTTGAACCGAGTCTCCATAAAGCACATTAGGGAGATGTCTTGTCTCCTCAAGAACTTTTGGGCATGCTAAAGTGGACAAATGGCCCATTAGTCTTGTGACTTTATCAAAGTTTTTGTTGGAAACATGCAAACTTCCCCTAATATCCACAAAATTCAACTTCAGACAATGTTTTTGTCGAAGCACATACAAAAAACTCGTTAATTCCAAAAGACGGTAACATAAGATACAAAATATATTTCTTACCTCCAGATTGGATCACCAATAGGTTGTGGATCAACAAAAGTAGCACATTTCTCGATGGAATCAACTTCACATTTTTCCGAGTCTGCAGCTTTGCTATCTGGATAATCTGCGCCTAATACCTCTTCATCGCAATCCTCACAAAACCAAATAACGTCGTCTGTAAAAACCACAGGACCCTTTAAACAATACCTGAAAATAGTATTTAAGAATGTGAAACTACAACTTCATAAAATTCTAAATATAATGCTTATTTCTACTTTATCCAACAAATTAGGATAGAAAAGAAACAAAAAAAAGTTTAGGGTATTGATGTGAATCAATATGTATTGTTCAATATCCTAGAGTAAGTAAAAAGCACCTATGCATTGCATAATCTCCACATTTGCTGCAATATACTATTGCCTCTTCAAAGCCTTCATCGCCACATGTAAGACAAACTGATACCTGCAACAAGCGTCAAGCAAGACAAGTTTAAATGCAATGATTCATAAAAGTTGTATATAACAACAAAAAAGCATATATTTTAATAATAAAAATATACAGTATTATTCCTTACTTCCATTGGAAATCAGAAAACGAGAAATACCTGAGGCAAATGAATTCTCCCCAAGGCACCAGCGAGAACATCCATCTCCACTTCTGCTTGAGAACCTCCGTCTTCAGTTTCAGTTTCAACACTGACCTCAGAAGCGGCATGAATCTCAATATCTAATTCCTCGGTAGGAGGTTCGCTCTCAATATATGCTACAGCTTCTGATACTTGAGGTTCTGTTTCAGTATGTAGACCACATTCAGTCATGGGTTCAAAACTTGACCCTACTGCATCTGGCAGTACGGTAGCAAGTGGTTCTATAACTATTTCTATCGCTGCAGAATCACAATTCACAATTTCAGTTTGGTTGTTAGTCATAGAACCAGCAGGGTCGTGCAACTCTGTTGATATCAAACATGGCTGATCATTTGAATCAACAATATCATTCTGAACCTCATTATGAACTTTGCTCTCAGACATTTCTGTCTGTATAATGTCTACTGGTGTTGGTACCTGAACAGCAATAGGAGATTGTGGTGGTACTAATACTATTGCACCAAAATCAGAACATGTATCTTCAATCAGGGTATTAATATCAGAATCTGCAGGGGCATGAAACTCCATTGAGATTGAGTGCGGCTGATCATTTGTTTCCACACCACAGTTCTCAACCTCAAGATGTTCTTTGCCTTCTTCTACTTCTGTCTGTAAATTGATCTGACATAAGGGTTCAAAACTTGATTCCACTGAGGGCGGTGGTGTGGATTCTTGAGAACTCACAAGGACTTCTGGTGTTACTGTTGCAGAAAAATCACAACTTATACATTCTGTCTCGGCGCTACTATTAGAGCCTGCTGAGGCCTTCAACTTCACCGGAGTTGATTGTGGCTGATCATTTCTTACGGACCTTCTAATCCCACTACTCATCTTCATGTACTTAACTCCTGGTGCTTCTTCAGTCTCGCGTTTGGAACGATGATCCTTTGCACTCCTTTTAGACTCGTCAGCTAGAACTTTCTTTTTCTGGAAACTAGTAGTTTCATTTTTCACATTCTCTATCTTGAAATCAAGATCCTTTGCACCAGTGTGATCCCTTAGTTTCCTTTTAGAACCTTCAGCACGAACTTCCTTGTACTCGAGTCTAGGAGCTTCGTAACTCGTATTTTCTACAGAGTAACCATCTTTCTTAGATTTTGGAACTTTCTTATGTACTACTGGACTCTTTTGAGAATTTTGAATATGTATTCCCTCTTCTTCATTTGAAGTTTCACGTTTTGTTGATTGCTCACCTAGTTCGAATAACATTCTTCGATGTTTCTTTCCATTATTATGCGCTTCCAACTTCTTGAGAGGAAACACAACACCACAAATTTTACAGTGTACACGTTCTACTGTGGCTACCTCAGGAACAGTTGGTTCCGGCATTTGATGTGGTAAGCACTTTTTAGCAGTATGGTCTTCAAGTGTTTTTTGTGGCAAGTTCATCAAATCAGCACAGTGTTCCGACGGTTGATGTGGTAAGCACCTTTTATCAGTATGGTCTTCAGGTGTTTGTTGTGGCAAGTTCATCATATCAGCACAGTGTTCCGACGGTTGATGTGGTAAGCACTTTTTATCAGTATGGTCTTCAGGTGTTTGTTGTGGCAAGTTCATCATATCAGCACAGTGTTCCGACTTTCGATGTGGTAAGCATGTATTATCAGCATCATTTTCTGCCTTTTGATGTGGTAAGGGACTTTTAACAGCAATGTCTTCTGGCGTTTGATGTGGTAGGCAGGTTTTATCAGCATATTCTTCTACCGCTTGATGTGGTAAGCACCTCGTATCAGCACAGCGTTCCGCTGTTTGTTGTGGTATCTGCTTTTTATCAGCACTGCATTCCGGCATTTGTTGGGGTATCTGCTTTTTATCAGCACTGCATTCCGGCATTTGTTGGGGTATCTGCTTTTTATCAGCAAGGTTTTTGGGCCTTTGACGCGGTAAAGGCCTGTTATCAGCATAATGTTGCGGCCTTTGATGCGTCAAGTGCCTCGGATTATAATAGTATGTCGGCACTTGATGTGGTAAGTGTCTGTTATCAACATAGTGTGCCAGCATATGATGTGGTAAGAGTCTGTTATCAACATAGTGTGCCAGCATATGATGTGGCAAGTGTCTGTTATCAACATAATGTACCGGCATTTGACGTGGTAAGTGTCTGATATCAGGAAAATTCGCCGGATTTTGATGAGGAATTTGGTAATTGTAGTTAAACGGACGCCAATAATGAGGAATTGGGTAATTATAGTTAAACTGTCCCGGATCGAAACCAACGAATGGAATATGATTCCGACGACCTCTATCATTGTTTTGAAAGTTTCCATTCTGCAAAAAATAAAAAATAAAAACATTCAAACAAGAAGTAATGAGTCTGATATAAAATCATCCATTCCCTTCACCTATGAAGCTCCAACTATTAAGCTCAAACCAGTGTTATTGATGGCGGTCCATGGCAGAGCCAAAATACCGCCCTACTGGACACTTTGCGGTGCCGTTATTGCGGATTATAGCAAAAATTACCCGCAATAGCAGCCGATATTTACTATTGCGGCGAACCCAAAAGCCGCAATGTATATCCACCATAGCGGCCATAGCGCTGCAATTTGATAACACCGGCTCAAACACATATACCAGACAAGATACCAACACTAACAAATTGAGAAAATGAATAAATTGAACGCAGTCACATGTCTCTGAACGGACACGCTTCAGTGGTATTAGTGCAATATGAAACATGAACACCCCAAACACAATCTCAACACTGAGACAACAACACCGGTAATAATTTTAAAAAATGAATAAATTAAGTGTAATCATAAGTGTCAGTGTTTGATACAAACATGGACACGGACATGCGGACACCGGAAACACTACACGGACACATTCGCAAGTGTCATTGTCCGAGACTGAATCAACTTTTTTTTAAGAGGTCTCGGTGCTACAAGGGTTTATCCTAACTCATTCATATTCAACCTTTTCCCAAAGAATCCAATTTCAATACAAAACAAAAATCACTCAAAACATTCCCATTCAAACATAAACAAAAAGAGAAACTATAATCATTGACTAAAAGAGAAATTACAATCTATAAATTCACTTTAACATGCATAAACTGAAATTCAACTTAAAATACATATAAAAAATAATAATTAAAAAAAAAACAACAACATTGACATGCATGTATTTATGAACAGAAAAAAAAAACAATACAAAAACACTAACCATTGTGTCGAATCGAAGGGTTTCTGAACAAGAAGAATGAAAATGTGAGAAGAAGAAGAAGAATTGGATTTTCTGAGAGTGAATGAAGACTGAGAAATTGATCACTTGATAGGGAGAGTGATGAAAAATAAGGAAGAAGGGGTTTTAATTGAATACGGATATTAATTTGATGTATATGTGCTGTTGATTGAACGTGATCGTTGGATTTAGATCGAACGGTTTAGATTTTAAATTTAAGCTTTCTGTTTTAAAATAATTAATTGTGCTGTATTTTGAACCATCTGATTAAATCGAATGATCATGGTTTGAGTTAATTCAAAATTTATCTGCGAGTTATTTTTGGTATTTAGAAAGTCAACTTATTTTCTTTCCTTTTCTTGTCATGGAAATTATGTATAAAGATATGGTGCTCTTTTCTAAAAAGTAGATTATACCTCCTATCATTATATTAGAAAGTTAAGTGTGTATAAAAGACTCATTTGTCCTTCTCTTTAGGACACACCTTCTTCATCAGATCATCGGTTCTTTCATCATCTATGGTGTAAAATTTCTCTTACAATTAAACCTTTATTTATTTTGCATGTTTTATTTAAGTAACTTAATTTTTTTTTTTTTTCAATTGCTATTCATCACTTTTCAGTAAAAATTTCTCTTCTCATTCATCTTTTAGATCCGAAACAATTTCCAATAGAATTACTGGATTCGAAATCAAAACCACCTTATCTAAAATCGAAACCATCTAATCTGAAATCGAATCAACTGAATATGAAACATAAACCTTTGAATTTCGTCCTTTTTTGTTGTTTTTTTTTAATCATCGTTACTAACCATTTTTTTTTTGTTCATGGAAACATTGATGAACCCTTACATTTTTTATATAATCTAATGTATTTTAGTTTGCATGTATGTTTGATCTTTATACCGTAAAAGTGTTTATTTTCAATCTTCATCTTTAAGTGTTAGGCTTTATTGATTCACAATTTTTCACTTTTAGGTATGTTTCACGTCATTGCTCTTCATCTTGATGAGGCATAATGGTTCTATTTTATCAATGAGTTTTTTCTTAACTCCTTTTTTCAATTTTTTTTATTGTTATATTTATTCTATTGCATGTCGTCAAAAATTTTCTCTTTTTTCTTTTTTTATTGATTTTATTTTTTTTATTTATTTTTTTCTATTTTTATTGATTTTATTTATTTTTATTTATTTGAAAAGATGGATTCAAACGTGAAGGTGTTAGACGTAGAGCTTTTCATCATAGATTTTTTTTGCACTCTTCTCTTAACTTTATTTGTAATGATTAATGGATCTATTTTGAACACAATTTTATTTGATATATGAAAGCTATAGTATATATAAGGATGCTTGATTCAACAAATCAGTGTAACTTTTGCCTACATCTCGATTTACTATTTTTATTTTTTATTTGATATCAGGACATATTTTTTCATTAAATTTTTCTATGACACCCAATATCAACATAAATTAAATATCTATTTTTTTTTTAATTTTTAATTGTATGTGTTTTGTTGATCAAAGATTTTTTTTACATTAATTAACTAATCACGAATTAAAATAAATATTACATTTAATAAAATTAGAATGATTTTTTTTAATTAATTAATCAGCTCACCCATCTCATCAAACTCAGAAATATTTAATTAGAATATTTAATTTATATTTAAATTTTATTAAATCTAATATTTATTTTACTTTTCACCCTTTGATCTGCAAAATTAGAATGATTTTTTTTAATTAATTAATTAATCACAAATCAAAATAAATATTACATTTAATAAAATTTAAATATAGATGATATGAAAAACAGTGTAGGAACGTTCAAATAGCACCGATAGTTATATTGAGGTAATATTAAATTTCAAATCATAACAATATCAATAAAACTTTGTTAATTTGTATTTAAACATATTAATTAATTCATAATCATTAATATAAAATTTTGTTTTCAATTAAATGCAAAATTTTATTAATATTATAATAAATAATTGTTAATTTGTATTTAAGATAGTATTTAATTTTTAGATTTATTTTATTTTTAGTTTAATTTAATTACAGGAAAAAGCTTGCTATTTTTCAAATACGGGAAAAGTATGCTATTTTTCAATCAATTGAATATATTTACAATACATTAAATACTAATTCATCAATTAAAATACGAAAAAAATTTCACAATTATATGTTATTAATATAAACAAAGGAAATATATATATCTACGAGGAAAAGTGTACTATTCATCCAAATATGAGAAAAATATTTTTAAAATATATGTCTCTTATAAATTAATTTAAAAGATTTTTAAATTAATGAGTGAATGTTAATAGTTTTTTTTATGAGATTAAGTTTATTATTTATAAAAATATTAAAAAAACATTTTGACATTGACAAACAAATACTCATGCGAATTCACGCAAAAAAATGTTGATCCAAAAAAATGTATATACAAAAACAATTAAAAATTGTACATTTATAAATTTTAAAATAATATTTATACATGGGAAAAGATTGTTGTTCTACTTATATTTCATCTTTTATTTGTAACATTTTTCATATTAAGTTTTTGTGTGTATAAAAAATGGCAAAACAAATGATTCAATCCATAAATTATTATTTTAAATTTTTTTAATATAATATTTCTTTTCTATTCATTTAACTTTCTATAAAATAATGTTCTTTTTTTTTATTCATGAATATTATATGACTATAAATTTTTATATTCCATGCTAACTAATATTTTTTTCTATACATTATAATTTATTTTTGGTAAAATAATTTTGTCTTATTTTTTATTTTTATTTTTAAAAAAATAAATAAATACTCTTCACTAACCGGTGTCCACAGGTATTTATTCTATCTTATTTTTAATATAAATTATAGTTTTTATAGTTACTTATTTAAATTAATTCTATCTTTTTTAATTTTAAATATAAACAAATGTGCGCCTCAGGTACTCGTGCGAAAGCACGGGTATCCCGCTAGTTTTAAAAGTTAAAAAAAATATATTTACAAGAAAATTATATTTGTATTCTTACGTGACATTAGTGAATTTAAATTTAAATTATCAGATTTAAAATTTATATATTTTTAATAATTGCTATGTGTAGAAATTAAACCAATAAATATGAGTATTTTTTGATAAGACGGATATAAAAGGTTAATATTTTAAGAAACCATTTGATGCACATGACTTAAAGTAGGGTAATGATAAGATTTGATATAGACATAATAACATTTATCATATCATGTTTTTGACACACATGATATTAAATATAATAACATTATATGGGAGTACATGTGTGCGCGCGAGTGTGCATGTGTATGTGAGACAAATTTACCTTTGAAAAACAAGTATATTTTTTTTTAAGTATTTTGTTTTAAAATTTATAAGTTGATAAAAAAATTAATAGTTTGATATAATTATAAAAAAAAAACTCATTAACACTATTGAGTAAACAGTTTTAGTTTTTCTTTAAAAGATCATGAATTTTATCATATATGTTAGATAAGCAAAATAAAAGTATGCATATATAATATGTAGTTACAAAATTACCCTTGCGAAAATATATATTTAATTTGATAAAATAAAATAAAATTAGTATTCATATTTTTAAAATTATACTAACTATTTTATTTTTAATATTTCTAATTTATTAGGTTTTAATTTTTTTATTAATATTTTATAATTGAATATCAAATTAAATTAATATTTATTTATATTTTATAATATTTATTTTTTATTTTAAATTATATTTTATAGAAGTAAATTTGTAAATTATTTTCTTATCATATCCTATCGGATTTTAATTGTGTTGTATCTTTTTTTAATTCTTTAGGTACTATGGGACTTTGGATATGGGGTAATGTCCTTAAAATATTAGAATATTAAATGAAGAGTGTGGTAATAATTAACAAGAAGTAAAAGATGTTGGACATATTGAAATTAATAGCATTACTATTAGATTTAATTAAATTAATTTAATAATAATAATAAATAAGTTAATATTTATTTAAAATAACAATAATAATATAAAAATAGTATTACTTTTATTATTATTTTATTGGTAGTTGCCTTAGTGGTATCTCTCTCTCACACACACACACACACACACACACACACACACACACACACACACACACACACACACACACACACACACACACACACACACACACACACACACACACACACACACACACACACACACACACACACACACACACACACACACACACACACACACACACACACACACACACACACACACACACACACACACACACACACACACACACACACACACACACACACACACACACACACACACACACACACACACACACACACACACACACACACACACACACACACACACACACACACACACACACACACACACACACACACACACACACACACACACACACACACACACACACACACACACACACACACACACACACACACACACACACACACACACACACACACACACACACACACACACACACACACACACACACACACACACACACACACACACACACACACACACACACACACACACACACACACACACACACACACACACACACACACACACACACACACACACACACACACACACACACACACACACACACACACACACACACACACACACACACACACACACACACACACACACACACACACACACACACACACACACACACACACACACATATATATATATATATATATATTAGTATTTGATTTTTTTAGTTTGATTTAATATTATAGTAATAATAAGAATAAATTTTAAAAATAAATTGAAGAGAAGCGGGAATGGAGAATGTACATGTAAGGATGGTAATTTGACTCATTTCCAATGGACACCCGCAAAATTACCCACAATGGATAGGGTAAAAATCCGCAAAAATTGGTACCGACACGGGTTCGGATAATTACCCACAAAAATAAGCGGGTATGGGTGCAGGTACTGGCA